TTTTGCTCTCTTCTCCGATCTATAAATCCACTGTTTTTTGGTTTTTTTTAAAGACTGGCATTTTTATTTATAAATTTGTTTATTTATTTATTTATTGGGTTGTGTTGGGTCTTCATTGCTGTGTGCAGGCTTCCTCTCGTTGCAGCGAGCACGGGCTTCTCATTGCGGTGGCTTCTCTTGTTGTGGAGCACGGGCTCTAGGCGCGTGGGCTCAGTAGTTGTGGTGCACGGGCTTAGTTGCTCCGTGGCATGTGGGATCTTCCCCGACCAGGGCTCGAACCCCTGTCCCCTGTATTGGCAGGCGGATTCTTAACCCCTTTGCGCCACCACGGAAGTTCCTTTTTTTTTTTTTTTTAAATCTGAGAGTTTATATTAGAAGTGGCAGCCCTGCCATTTCTCATGGCTTACTTGTGCTTGCCTAGTTCGTACTGTCTTCGATCTGCATCTTATTTGAAGGAATCTTGTCAAGCCACCTGGCATTTTGGTGAGGGTTAATTCAGTGAAAACGGTAGCATACACATCTTAACCTGGCACATGTAAGCTCCACCATATCACAATATGCCAAAGGGAACCAACCGCTGAAGAAGCAACTGTCAGCTTTTCCCATGTGAACGTCCGGCCTCCTCTCAGAAGACCTGAGACCAGCTGACATTCTCAGTCATTAAAAGCACCTGTGTCTTTCCAGATTGGACAAACCAAGTCTTAATATAATTTTATATCTTTAAGTAAAAGATATAAATAAAAGGTGTAATATTTCTTCTTAAACTCTACTGGATCCTCTTGCACGCCCCCTGTGGTGGACCCTCTCACTCTGGAAAGCACTGTTTTAGAGAAGGCACAGCCCCCTCTTCAAAACATTTAGTAGTCACACTTATGTTTACTCAGTGTAAGGAAAAGTCAAAAGTCTATGATGTAGTCCCCTGCTGTGACTCTGTGTCTTCCTAACCCCAAGCTTCACGGCCCAGGCTGGCAACCACTGAACAAGCTTTAAAGGAGGGAAACTTATTTGAAAAAGACAGGCATTACTCTTATGGCCAGGAAACAAAAATAGAGGCTAGGTAAACAAGGAGATGAAAGTGACACAGACATTCCAACCGGTGGATAGGAAACCAAACTCTATCTCCTTGTAGTGCTTTGTTTCAGCTCCATGAAAAATCATGTCAAGATCATGCCAACCCTGACGAAATACAGTCACTTTATTTATACAGAAAATACATGTTATGTATTATTCTGCTCTCTTTGGTCAAATAAGAGTAATTATAATATTATTTTTTTAATCAGCTTAAGGGAGAGGAGAGGAAACACTGACAAGTTTGGCACAGAATGTTTTCCAGTTAAGTAGCAAGGATTATGGCATGACTTATTTTTAATATTGAATCATATTGGTATTTTCTAGTTTGGGTTTTTATAATCTTTGTAACATAAACACATTTAACTATTTGAGATGAGTTTTTTCCAATTCTCTAGCAAAATATTTTTAAAGCAAATAAAATCAAATCCAAAAACCTAACCTAGGGCTTCCCTGGTGGCACAGTGGTTGAGAGTCCACCTGCCGATGCAGGGGACACGGGTTCGTGCCCCGGTCCGGGAAGATCCCACATGCCGCGGAGCGGCTGAGCCCGTGAACCATGGCCGCTGAGCCTGCGCGTCCGGAGCCTGTGCTTCGCAACGGGAGAGGCCACAACAGTGAGAGGCCCGCGTACCACAAAAAAACAAAACAAACAAACAAAAAACCTAACCTAGTCAAAAGTAAGCAGCTTTCAGAAAAAAGCCACCTTATTAAAAATATGGCACGACTAAGCCAGCCAACTTTTGACAAGAACAAAATTCAGTAGTTTCAGAAGAAATAAATATTTATGGCTGGGCCTAAACATGTTGTCTTCCATGGAATAACATAGCAGAGATGTTAAATAAAAGGGTCAATGAGAGATCTGTTTTTGAGAACGTACTGCAATTGTAACTTTGGATCTACTAAATCTTTCTTCCCGTAACAATATATGTTAAAGATTATGAGTAGTGATCAACAGACAAAACAGGTACAGAAAAAGTTAAAAAGGGTCAGAAATAATGTGAATCTTGGGAAGCCTATTTTGAGACAGCATTTGTGAAAATTCAAGAGCCTGAATTTATGCCAGTTCTGTTTTTATGAGTATTAAATCTCTAAAACCAGAAGAACGCAACATTCTAGTCAACACACTACAGTGCGGTTCAAATTTTTACAGCACGTTCACTCAAAACTGCAGAGTAGCTGGAAAGCCATTTTTTTAAACCGTGGCACAATTACGCTATTTAAAAATGTGCAATGTTTCCGAAAGATGAAGGAAACAAACCATTCTGGCTAATGAAACAGGGAGCCCAATCTATCTTCATCTCAGACTCACAAGGCTTAATTATTTCTAAACGTCATTTAGCCACACCATAAACGTCTGCCTTAAACAGTCAAATTTTCCAAAGAAGCCAAACTTCATGGGTGGGGCAAGAGGCTGAGAAGGAACAGGAGTCATGTTGGCTTACTCCAGCGTTGGAAAAATATTTAGCACCACACACTCAACAAAGGCCTAACACAGCAAAGAGCAATGTCCAATCAATCCATTTTGGTCTATTGTCCTAGTCCTCTACGGAAACTAAAATACGGCGAAAGACTAAAGCGAGTACAAAAGTTTGACGGCGGCGGGGCTTGGGGCTCCTAAAGGGGGGGAGGGAGGGGGACCATCCAGAAAATGTCACCAATTTTCCATCCGTCTACTGGCCCTAGGATGGGAGAGTGTTTTACTCATCCACGGAGAGAAAGAGTTGAAATTCTTTTCACCTGATCAACCTTACACGCCTTAGTCGTTACGGCCACTTTCTGGAGCAGACCATTACTCAGCACGAAGGTGGGAACCGGCGCCTTCTGTAGCCAGGGGTGGGGGGCAGCGAGGTCTTGGGGGAAGTGGGAAGAGGAATAGAAGCATCAGGTGACAGCGGACCTCCCCACGCCCTCCGAGTCCTCTGTTCTCCAGGACCCACACCTGGACTTGGGAACGACTGAGCACAAGTTGACCTGCGCGCTGGTCCCCAGAGCAGCTGGGGAGTCCAAGGGCAGGCTCGGGCTAGGGATCCCGGGGGTGGGGAGCAGGCCGCGGGGACCCGACGTTCGCCTCCTCCTGGACGCCCCCCACCCCGGCGCACGCCCACCAGCCCGCTCCCAGCCCCTCTCCCCAACTTCAGCCCTCAGCCCTGTGCGCCCGCTCCGCACTCCGCTGCCCTCGCCCCCAGCAGCCGGGCCCGCCTCGCCTCCTCCCGACCCCCTTACCTTTCCATTCTTGGGGCTGCCGTTCAGGAACAGGGTCACCCGCCTCATCGCGCTGCCCCCACTGGGTCCTGAGTGAGTCGCCACCCTCCCAGCTGGCTCCCCTCCCACCTTTTTCTTTTCCCGCCCTTCCCCTCCCTCCGCCCACTCGGACTCTCCACCCTTCGCCACCTTCCTTCCCTTACACACACACACACACACACACACACGCGCACGCACACGCACGCACTCTCCTACCCACACCCCAAGGTTGGCGGGCTCTCCTTCCCACCCCGCCCCTGGGATCCTCAGTCAGCCTGGGGCCCTTCCCCCACCTCTGCCAGACTGACTCTAAGCTCCGCCAATCATCGGGCAGCGCCGGCCAAAATTCAGCCAATCATCGCCCTGCACTGGGTGGGCTCTAACTAACCCAGCCCAGGTGGAAGGAGGGAAGAGAGGCTGCAGTCTAGCCGACGGGGAAGGGTTATCAGCCAATCAGAGCTGAACCTGGAGACGAACGGCGGCTCAAAGCGTTACTGAGCAGGCGCATAGCCAACACCAGGTAGAGCTCATCTGCATACGGAGGCGGGGCTTGAGGGAAGAGGCAGAGCGATGGAAGTGATCCACAACCAGTCAGAGCCTCCCAACTTTAACCCCTCCCACTCGCTCAACCCACCGAGGAAACGGTTGCGGTCGGGACTGGCTGATTGGGTAAGAGCCAGCCCGTTGTTCTGTCAGGATTGGTTCAATGATTCTTTTCGAAGTTCGCAGCATCCAATCGAAAGGCCGGGGACGGAACCAAACGGCTAACCAGATGATTCCTCCGCGAGGCTCTCACGGAAAATAGTTCCCGGGGACGCAGGTCAGCAGTGGAGCTCTCTGGGCAGTGTGTCAACTGCGGCTAGCGGTGGTGTTTCTCCGAGCCCACGAAGCCACTCCTGTTCCTGGGAAGGCGAGGTAGAGGTCTGGGAGAGTTCGGTGCGCGCGCGCACACGTGCGAGTGGCGTGGGCGTAGAGATTCTCAGAGTAACGCCGGGACGCCGAGGAGGCGGGGCCGGCGATTTGAATCGGGCGGCGGGCCGCGGCCGGGCCGAGGGCAGGTTATAGGTAACGCCGGCTGTGGGGTCTGGGGGTCGGCGGCCGGGGACCAGGTAGCCCCCCGCGGCTGGCTTGGCGGCCGACAGTTACTTTCTCGAGCGAGCCCATCAGGACCAGAGAGCCGAGGTCTAGAAGGCACGACAGCCACGACTCATCGGCGGAGTGTTCAAAATAAACCCGAGAGGGAGGTAAGGCAAGCGGCCTGGTTGGGAATTCCGAGACAGTAGTGGCGCAGAGCTGTTTCTTCGACGTGTTTCTCAGAAGTGTGTTCTACTGGATCACCCGCCTGCTTTTTAAAATGCAGATTTCTGGGGCCCAGCCAGACCTCCTGAATTAGAATTTTTGGGAATCGCAAAGCCGCTTCTCCAACAGGGTGCCTAGATGATTCTGATGTTCGCTAAGGTTGGAAAGCCTTGGCTTTATTGTATGGGATCTGCTTTGTTTCATCCCGAACAGCAGTTTCCTCCATTTCTCTTTAATTTGAACTCCAAAAGTAGTCTCTTGTCATCCGTTTTCGTGCCAGTATAGGTTGTATTAGAATTCAGTCTTGAAAGAGGATCTCGATCAAATCACATTATTAATTTTGGAGGTGGGGTTATTTTTCTTTTTTCTTTCTTCTCTCTCTTTTTTAGATGGATGATAGTTCAAAAGACAGCAAGCCCCTTGAAACCAAGGAGTCTGCTATTAATAATGCTGGTATGTAGTGACCTGTTGTTTCTTTGTGAAATTTAAGGTTTAGGTGTTTATCTTGATAATGATGTTTAGACCCTACATGTTGTCTGTTTCAGAAGATACCTCTTTCATTTTGGGAAATGGGAAGCTTGTAACTCCTCACAAGCCTGCAGCTGAAGTGACTCCTAATCGTTGCACGTCAGATGCTTTTCAATCACCTTTGAACTTTTCCACAGTAACTGTGGAGCAATTGGGAATTACACCTGAAAGTTTTGTAAAGAACTCTTCAGGTAAGAGATGTTGTTCTTCTATTGCAGTGCCTTTAAAAGTTGAAAAATTAAACTCTATATTTTGTTCACTTACCCTGTCTGTCTTATTACTTTATCTAAATTGATTGACTCTCAGACTTGCTGGATCAGGGAGATCAGGGTCCCAGGGCACCCAGCATGATAGTGTTCCTAAGTCACAGCTACGCTCCAGGCCCAAACTGGAAAAGGACATGTGTGCGAGTCACTCTTTGACCCGACACATGGGATACAGGAGTGTGTATGTGAAAATAGTAATACATTTTATGGTCATGTATGGTAAAAATGAGAGAAAGTTGAAGGGCAATTAAGAAAATATGACATTGAAAGACTGGAGCATACCTCTTTCAAAATCTCAAACGGAAAATTGACTCAGGCTAATCTCCTTTATGGAGTAGAAATGAAATTCACCTGTGAAGTCTGATTTAGCTGAAGAAACAAATAATGGGAATGGAATTAGAGAATAGAATTTAGAAATGGAGGGTAGTGGGGGACTTGAAAATCAGGGGGCACTAGACTAGTAATACCTGATGGAGATAAGACCGAAGTGGATGCCAACCTGTGTTGCCTTCTCAAGAACATCATTCTTAGACCTTTAAAAAGCTAAACTGGTTGGAATTCAGGGTAGTGTGCTGAAGGTAGACAGGTATCTAAGAGAAACAAATTATTTTGAACAATTGAGGACATGAGAGTGTGTGCCTGGGGGGAGATCGTCCTTGGGGATCAGAAAAAGAGAAATTTTTATTCCAAAGCAATCCATTACCAACTCTGTGCAGGAAATAAGAAACAAAAATGAGACCTGTTAATTCAAATGTATTCATGCATTTGTTCCACAACTTTTTGATAAACGCCTGCTATGTGCCAAGCACCGCTCCAGGGGCATGGAATAAATCGATAGACAAAACAAAGGTACCTACCCATCTGATGATGTGTGCACAATTTTGCCTGTACTTTTCCACTTAGATCCCTGTACGATGCGTTCATCATATTCTCTCTCAGGCTGGTGGATCATGGGTATTCAGGGCACGATTACTGATTACCTTGTTTTGTTCCAACTTACAAAAGAGTTTTTATTATAGGAAAGTCATCATCCTACCTTAAAAAATCCAGACGACGCTCTACAGTTGGTGTTCGGGGCTCTCCGGAAACAAACCATCTAATTCGTTTCATTGCCCAGCAGCGGAATTTAAAGAATGCTTCTTTGACCAAGAATTCCCCTTGTCAGGTATGGTTTTCTTTTTTAAGTTCCGTCACGAATTCTTGTAGGAGTATGTTTTGCTCTGTTAGAAAGCTTTTGTACAGTGTTGGTACTCTCCAGTGCACCTCATCTGTTTTGGATCTGGAGAGAGAATATTTTCTCTGTGTCTTACAGAGATTGTGCGCTTAGTTTAAATGTTGATATTGAGCATGGATCTATTAAAGGTTATGAGATCCTGGATAGAAATGGTGTTCTGGAGGCCCTTTCTGTTTTATTTTGCACATTTTTGTTTAGTTCGTGTCTGTTTTTCTCTAATGATGAGGTGAGGCAGTGTTTTCCGACCTTTTTCTTTTAGTATTTTGTCTGTAAGTGTCTAATACTTTTGTGACTACTGTGTGTTGACATGTAGGGGCAAGAGTTCCCCACACCCCCACCAAAATGTATTTGAGATAACCTTGTGGAAAGGAGCGAAGTGTTTGTTGATGGGGAAGTATTTAGATATTTTTGCAGATTTTTATCAGAATAATACATGCTTCTAAAATTGTCAAACAGTACAAGACTTGCTATGAAAGGTAGTCCCGGGCTTGCCCTTCTTTGGCTCGTTTGGCTCTTTTGGTATGGGCCTTCCTATTTTAAAAGGTACTTTTATTGCCACTTCTTTATTTTTCGTTTTAGACCCTGTGTATACATGAGGCTGTTTAGTGCAGTGCAGGGCTTCTCAGAAATTATCTGCAGATTCCTGGGAATACCTGAGTCCCGTCCGAGAGGTCCGTGAGGTCAAACTATTTGTTGAAACAGCACTAAGGTGTTATTTGCCCTTTTTCACTGTGTTGATGTTTGCACTCATGGTGTAAGAGCAGTGGTGGTTAAAACTGATGGCATCAAGCAATCATTTTACCTTCAACCCTGTTCATCGTTTACAGAAAACAATAAGGCCAGTTTCACTTAACATCCTTGATGAAGCAATAAAAATTATACATTTTATTAATTTTCAACCCTGGAATATTATGTGTGATGAAACGGGAAGTAGACACCAGGCATTTCCAAAGTATGTACCGAAGTGTGGTGGATGTTTCCAGAAAAGTTATGGATATGATTGTTTGAGCTGTGAGTTGAACTAGCCACTTTTTCGTGGAACATCGTGTTTACTTGAAAGAATGACTGACAGACATGGTTAGTCAGACTTGGGAATGTGGCTAGCATTTTCTCAGAAATGAACAGTGAACCTGCCACTTCAAGGAAAGCCAGATATTTCTTACCAATGAAAAAAATTCGAGTTTTTGAGAGAAAATTAGAATTTTGGAAAACTTGTATTCACGACTGTCATCTTACTTGACAGCTTCCCAATGGCTGCACTTTTCTAATGGATCAGTAGGGATATTAATGTGACTTTTGGATATTGCACAGTAAAATATGTTAACATTTGGAAGATACACATAACTGAGTGAACCAGTATTTTCTACGTGACCAGTACATGCAAATTATACCCTCAAGTTGCAGGATAGGCCCATGGATTTTAACATAACAGAATATGAAAAGTTCATTGATAAGATTTCATATTTGACATTGCAACTAACATTTAAGCAATCTTCATTGAATTTGGTGTTGCATTAAAGGATATCCACAATTCTGGAAAAGCTGGTGATATATTCTTGATAGATATAACGAACGTGAACTAAGAGTCTTTGGTGTGCTCAATAATTCTTTAGGGTGTAAAAACTTATTGAGAACTGTGTTAGAGTATATGGGAACATGGCCTGTGGAGTTGTATTGTTGGCGTTTGATTCTAGGCTTTATTATTAGTTAATTGTGACTTTTGGCAAATTACTTGAATTTTCTGTTCCAGTTTCCTTATGTATAAAACAGGGGTGATGATAGTAGCAAGGGTTTTATGAGGTTGAAAAAATTAATAGATATGAAGTACTTACAACTGTGCCTGGAACATGGTATGTTTTACGCTATCACTGTTGTTATTTCTGTGAAAAATGAGGATTTTGCTCTCACATCTCCTAGCCATAGCTGTCCTGACACTTTCCCCTTCCTGCCTTCCTACCAGTACAACCAGTTACAATTTGTGTTTAAATTAGGGTTTAGTATATATTATCTAACCCTATAGATATTTTTCATGAATTGCCATATGGTGTGTTAGGGCCATATTTCCTTTCTTGCATGATTTTTGTTTTTCCTGTGATTAATAAGTACCTTTTTTTTTTTTTTTTTTTTTGGTTTAGTCTTTTAATTTATCATGATGGACTATCTTTCACTGTGCATTGTTGAGGACATTATAGTTTTGTTGAAGTTTTCTTCCTTATTTCATGGGGTCTCATTTTGCTACCTAATTATTTTAGGTTCTGGCTCATTCTCAAATCTTTCTTCAGATGCCTTGTGATCCTTGACTCTGTTCACATTTGAAGGTGTGACACTTTAAAAACTGACTGAGAGCTAACTGTGTGTGGTCTGGCTCTGTTGGCTAGTGGATTTCCATGTAGGACAACAGGCCACTTTTTCAGTGAAGGAACTCCCAAATATTAGAATCCTGTGGGTACTTTCTCTTTGGCAGATCTGTTTTCTTTGAGGGAATTCCTGGGGATGTAAACCTGAGCCCTAGAACCGTGGAAGGCAAATGTGGAAAGTGGCTGGAAGTCATTGAGAAGACTTAGACAAACTGTTTTCAGTACAGGGCCTCCTATCCTTAGCTGTTTAGATCTCATAGAGTCCTAAAACATAAAGCTTCCCTCCAAAACGTAAAGGTTCTTTCCTGTTTGTGGAGAGATCTGTGGGTTCAGGTGCTACTGATACAGCTTCAACATTGCCCTGGACCCTTGTTTCAGACATATTGAATATCTGATGCTTTAGATAACCTGAGCCTTTCTGGGGGTCTCTAGCAAGTCTGCTTGTTTCCTGTTATCAGACCACCCTAAGGAGCCCCTGTCAGTTTCAGCTTTCTCTGGACTAAGTCAGTTTTTGTTTGGTGACGTTCTATATCTGCTGTTGATTTTTCTCTTTTTTTTTTTCTTAAGGATATACATACACATATGTACATAAACACATCCCCACACATATCATATGACTGTACTTATTAAAAGAATTGCTGGAATATATAGTTGTAGTATCTGGCATTGAGATATTCAAGAATGAAAACGAGTAGTGGAGGAAAGATGAGGGATATATATTGCAAAATGATCACCGCACATAGTTACAAATTCTTTTTTCCCTGTGATGAGAACTTTTAAGATCTCTTAGCAACTTTCAAATATGCAATACAGTATTATTAATTATAGTCACCATGCTGTACATTATATCCATGACTTATTTATTTTATAACTGAAAGTTTATACCTCTTGACCCCCTTCACCTATTTTTTACACACTCCCAACAACCAGCCACCAATCTGTTCTCTGTATTTATGAGCTTGGTTTGACTTTTTTGTTTTCTTTTGTGTGTTTATCTTAGATTCCACAGATAAGTGAGATCATATGGTATTTGTCTTTCTCTGATGGACTGACTTAGAGTAAGACCCTTGAAATCCATATGTGTTGTTGCAAATGGCAAGGTTTCATTCTTATGGCCGAATAATATTCCATTGTGTATATACCACAATTTCTTTATCCATTCACTCATCAAGCGACAATTAGGTTGTTTCCATATCTTGGCTGTTGTAAATAATACTGTGTTGAACATGGGCGTACATATATCTTTTTGAGTTACTGTTTTCCTTTGATTAAGTGCCCAGAAGTAGAGTTTCTGGATCATATAGTACTTCTTAATTTTTTTGAGGAACCTCCATACCGTTCTCCATAGTGGCTGCACCAATTTGCATTCTGACCAACAGTGCACAAGGGTTCCCTTTTCTCCACATCTTCACCAACACTTGTTCTCTCTTGTGTTTTCAGTAATAGCCATTCTGACAGGTATGAGGTGATATGTCATTGCGGTTTTGATTTGCATTTTCCAGCTGATTAGTAATGCTGAGCACCTTTTCATGTACCTGTTGACCATCTGTATGTCTTTGGAAAAATGCGTATTCAGATCCTCTGCCCATTTTTAATTTTATTTTATTTATTTATTTTTGCGATACGCGGGCCTCTCACTGCTGTGGCCTCTCCCGCCGCAGAGCACAGGCTCCGGACACGCAGGCCCAGCGGCCACGGCTCACGGGCCCAGCCGCTCCGCGGCATGTGGGATCCTCCCGGACCGGGGCACGAACC